AGGTTGATGGATGGATGGGTGGGTAGATGGATGGGTGGATAGGTGGGTGGGTGGATGGATGGATGGATGGATGGATGGATGGATGGATGGATGGACAAATAGGTGGCTGGGTGGATGGGTGGATGGATGGATGGGTGGGTAGATGGATAGGTGGGTGGATGGATGGATGAAGGGTAGGTTGATGGATGGATGGGTGGGTAGATGGATGGGTGGATAGGTGGGTGGGTGGATGGATGGATGGATAGATAGGTGGATGAAGGTTGGGTTTATGGATGGATGGGTGAGTGGGTGGATGGGTGGGTGGGTGGATAGGTGTATGAGTGGGTGGATAGATAAAGATAGAATACTATTACAGTTTGTATCTAGATGTCCTTACAAAGCCTTAGGAGCTATAGGTGGGGCTTTTGGGCAGCAATTGGATCATGGAGCAATGGGAAGCAGAAAAACAAAATGACACCCAAGATTTATTTACATTAACAGATTGGGATCATCCCCAGAATATCAGGCCCACCTCTAATCCTAGTTACTAAGGAGGCTGAGGTAGGAGAATCACAAGTTCAAGGCCAGCCTGGGCAACTTAGTGAGGGCCTGTCTCAAGATAAAATTTTAAAAGAGATGACTGAGAAGAAGAAAGGAGAAGGGCGAGAAGGAGAGGAGCCACATGCTGACCCATAGTCCAGATGCGGAACCCCAAGGCTTGCTGTGTCCCTGGCTCAGCAGCTGTCCACAGCCTCACTGCAGAAGGGAAAACCTGATGTGTGCATAAGGCCAGGGCCTTGGACAGTCCCCTCAAGGTCCCCAGGAGTCCCTCAGGCCCCTGCAGACTTCCCTTCAGGCTCCTGCTCCCTCTGCCGCCCCCTGCTGGCCTTTGCTCTGCTTCTTGGGCTCCGCCAGCTCCTGCCCAGCAGCTTGGGGCCTGCAGCTCCCTGCTCTCCCGGCCCTCAGCACTGAGTGTGGCTGATCCCTCTGACCCACCCAGAGTCCTTTTCACAGTGTCACCTCACCTGTCCCCGCACTCACAGAGCAGCATGCCCATTGTTCAACAGGCCCTCAGTAGTCGCACTGGTCACCTGGCTGGGAAGCCACACTTCACAGGCAGAGACCTTACTGTCACCCTGCTCTCGAGGTCCCTGCCCCTAGCAGAGCCCAGTGCAAGGCAGATGAGACACGGTGCCGCCCCACTCACGCCAACGACAGGCTCAGCAAGTGGGCGATGCAGCTTGTCTCCGGCCTCGTGACTCCACTGATCCACGTCCCCCTTGCTGAGTGACGAGGCCTGGAGCGGACACTGCCACTGTGCACCCTGATTGTGACTGTCATAAAGCAGCAATGCCAGGAGACTTTCCACGACAGCTTCCCAGCACATGGCAGCTTGTACTCAGACTGCACACGTGTACTCATGGCTCAGTGCAGAGCACAAGCCGGCCGAGGGCTGCGCTGGGGTGAGGCGGGGATGGGGGAGAGGTGGACCTCACACCGAGCTTCTTTCATAGTGTGAGCCATGTCCCTGGGACATCGCCATCCGAACCGGGGGTGGGAACCTTGGCTTTCACGCTGCTCACCTCCTGTGCCTTCCTGGGGCCTCCCTGCCTCCTGGGACGCATTCCTGACCACCCACTTCCTGCCCTGGCCCACCAGGCTTGTGGGGGGCTGAGCATGTGCTCCAGGGGTGAGCACTTACTTAGCCTGCACCTGGCCCTGGGCTCTGTCCCCAGCACTGCAACTCAACAATGACAATACTCGGGAGCCCAGTGCCCTGATACAGCACCTGCAAAGTGACAGCAACACCGGTGACGGCAGCCTTAGAGGGGCCCTGCCCTACCTAGGAGCCCTACAGGCTCACGTTGGCCTCCAGGCTAATCAACAGAAGCCAAAGCCATCTGCAGGTGGCTGCAGGACCCTGTGAGACCCTGGAGGAGGCCAGTGTGGGGACAGGGGAGCATCACAGGGGAACTGGCACCCCATGTCCCCCAGGCTTCAACTTCTGCTTCTGTACTCCTCCATGACAGCCCCTGTAGCTCCGTGGCTTCTTTCCTTACGCCCCGCACTGTCCTTGGAGAGGCTCCTTTGCTTTCAGGCCACCGGACACGTCCCCCTGGTGCCAAGATCATCACCACCCCAAGGGTCTGAAACAGCTGTGCCCATCTTTCCCATTCCCCTCTCCCCTCCATGGCTGGACGCCAAGATCTACGGTGGTCTCTGCCTCTGTCTCTCTCTTGCACCCACACTCACTCTCACCAACTGCAGCTCCTCAACCTGTCTCCGCCACTGGCATTGCCCTGGTCCCAGCCAAACTGAGGGGCTGCCTTGGTGAATATTTATGGTACAGACAGACAGGTGCATGGACAGATGAGTAGGATGATGGAGTCAGCAGGTGGATAGACTGCTTGTTAGACATGTAGGTAGGTGGATTGATGGGTGGCTAGGTAAATGGATAGTTTGTTACATGGATGTATGATAGGTAGATGGATGGATGGGTAGATGGATGATGGATGAATGGATGGATGGATGGGTAGATGGATGGATAGTTTATTAGGTAGATAGGTGGATGGTGGGTGGACAGATGGATGGAAGGATGGATGGGTGAGTGGGGCAGGGGGATGGATGGATGGATGGATAAATAATTGGATGGATGGATGGATGGATGGATGGATGGATGGATGGATGGATGGATGGATGAATGAGTGGATGGATGGATGGATGGATGGATGGATGGATGGATGGATGGATGGATAGATGGATGGACAGCTCAATGGGTGGGTAGATAAGTGGGTGGATACATGAATGGAAAATGGAGGAACTGGGGCTGGAGAGATGGCTCAGTGGTCTAAAGCACCTACTTAGAACAAGCTTGGCAAAGCACAGGGACCGTGGTTCGATCCACCCGTGTCACCCCTCCACACACAGAGAGTTGCTTCAGGCTCAGGGGTGACATCACAGGTACGTGTTTGAGCCCCTCCACTCCTGCCCCACACCCAGCACACAGGACACCCGGAGGAAGATGCGCCACATGGACTTCACTTTCTTTTTACAAAGACTTTATTGTCTGACATGCTTGACAAAAAAAAGAAAAAAAAATTACAGCCACAATCAAGTGATGCCAAAATGATTGAGGAGCGCACTGTCATCTTTCATACCTCAAGGACTTTTAATGAATTTTCTCTTAAAGTAACAGCTGCCTTCATAACTTTTCTTTTCCACATAAAAATACACCATATTCTGAAGATACCTTAGGAAAAACATTTTATTCTTTAAAGTTTATAGTTCTTGGTCCGCATAGAAACTGAGCAGAGACGACGTTGACAGAGTTCTGTGTGTTCTCTACCCCATCCGCAGGGTGCATCCTAATCACCTTAGAGACTCGATGAACGTCCCTGGCTAACCCAAGTGACTTCAGCCACAGGGGGCTCCCCCCAGCACAGCACTACCACCAGGCTCCCAGGAATCCAAGACCCAGCTCTCTCTCAAGCCAGGAGGAAATCCCAGAATCTGGGATGCTAGGACGCTGGACTCAAGAGTTCAGGCTTTCCTGGAGTTCGAGGAATCAGAGCTGCTTTTGGACAGGACCCTCCAAAAACCAAACAGAAAGAGCTCTGGATCCATGTCCTGCTCCATGGGTGAGAGAACTCTGGATAGTGGCAAAACAAGGGCTCTTCTGAAGGCACAGACCGAGGTTCAAATCCTGCCCCTGCCCCTTTTGTGCTGTGTTCCTTCAGACAAGTTACTACGTGGCTCGCTGGCCTCCACTGCCTCTCGGGGCCAACAGTCCCAACCTCACAGGACTGTCTGAGGATGAAGGGGGATGATGGAGGACACGTGGAAGGCTGCTTCCCAGGGCAGGGAGCGAAGCCCTCCTCCTCAGCCAGTAAAGAGGGCACAGAAACATCAGTAATCAGGACAGATAAAGACCATTGTAACATAATGTTAAAATCAAAGTGTATGTAAAAATTATTCATGACAAGCAAAATATCAACATTTTAAATAAAGACAGGCTCTGCCATTGCCCCCGCCCCTCACCTGGCCTTGCTGGTTCCTTCCTCCTAGAGATCCAGTCCCGGCCCAGCCCCTAAAAAGGCAGCCAGCCAGGGTGCAGCTGCAGGAGCTCAGGGCCCACCTGTCACGGTTGCTGCCAGAGGGTCACACAAGGAAGAGAACCTTGCTGCGGAACAGTGGTGGGAGATGCGGTGCTCCTTGTTGGGTTTAGAGGGGGCACACGCGCATGTGGGTGCAGATGAGCGATAGGCAATGCCGCAGCCCCCGCCTGCAAACCCTCCTAGCTGCTGTGCTTTGCAGAGCAGCGCAGACCCCAGGAGCCAAGCACTGTCCCACCATGACATGGAACCCTCCAGGGGCTCTGGGCACTAAGATGGCTCTTCCTGTGGGAACCCCCCCCCCCATCCAGGTTCTGAGTAAATGCCTGGGACACTCAGGCCACTGTCACACTGAGCATGCCCATAGGAAGATAAAGGGGAGCAGCAAGGCCAACCTCTGTGGGGCCTACCAGGTGCGGCCCCGATTCCTGAGATGTCCCCAACACTCCCTCAGAGGGCCCAGTCTTTACCACGTCAGCCTCCCTCGGGAGGGCTGCATATCCCATGCTACAAAACATCTGCCATCCTTGCTCCTGGAGCCACAGCCATACACCCTGGAGACAGGGGAGCACTTTATGCAACCATCTCTGGGGTTCATCTAAGAGTGGCAGCGTCCCACATCAGAGGGTGTCCAGCTGAGTGGGGTGACCATTCAGGCAAATCCCAAGCAAGATGGGCCACGAGCCCTTGAGTGAGGTCCTCATGGAGGTACAGGCAAAAACAGCAATGAGCGCATGTCCTGTTGGGGCCACGCAGGATCCCAGTGGCAGGCAATGGAGGCTGAAAGTCAATGGGAATTGAGTTCCTTCATTCTGAGGCCTTGACCCATCACAGGGCTGGTTTCCAGGGCCACGTGGGGTGTCTGCGTTGTTCTGCACAGAAGGGAGCGTGGCAGGGGTCTGTGCACTCGGCCGGGCAATGCAGCTGGTGCAGGCAGGCAGGGCTGGGCAGCAGGGGACAGTCAGGAGTTCCGGGGTGTGGGTAAGTCGATGACGACAGGCGGGTTCACAGGCTGGTAGTTCACAGTGCACACGGATGCATTCACGTAGGTGGTCGTCCCATCCGCCATGACACCATAGCCTGGAAAGGAAACAGATGCCAGTCAGGCCCTGGCTGAACAATGAGGGGTCGTGGCCTCTGTGGCAGGCACAGGGTCACAAGGGGCTGAGCACCATGGCACAAGCTCCAGCAGCTCTCAGACTCAGCCTCTGCATGTGCTGCAGAACCAATAATGACCTTGCTCCCGAGCCTGCTGCAGAATGAAACAGGTCTTCATCCAGAGCGAGGCCTCAGCCCAGTGCCTGGCACACGGAAAGCAAAGCACATGGCAAGGTGTGATGAATAACACCATCCTCCTTATCATCCTCATCATTGTCCTCAAGACAATCTCTGTCCCCATCACTGCCATCATCACTATTACCATTATCATCACCGTCTCTACCACCTTGACCATCATCTTCCTCACACCACCCTCATCGCCATCACCATATGACCACCAACATCACAACTACCACTACCATCACTATCTATCACTACCTTCCCCATCCCCACCACAACCACCTACCTCACCACCATCATTACCATGACCACTATCACCCACCCTCTCCATCGCCACCAACACCATCACCGTGACCATCCTCTCTCTCAACATCAACCTCATCGCCATCCCCCTACCACCATCATGACCATGACCATCACCACCATGACCATGACTATCATGACCATGACCATCACTACCATGACCATGACCACTACTATCACCATTACCACGACCAGCACCATCATGACCTCAACCATCACTACCACGAATATGACCATAACCATCACCATCATAACCATGACCATCATGACTATGATCATCATAACCATGACCATGACTATGACCATCACCATCACCATCAATGCCATGACCATTACACTCACAACCATCCCTACCATGACCATCCTCATCACTTTCTATATCGTTACCATCACTAGCACCACCACCACTGTCATCTTATCACAATCACCATCATCATCACTGTCACATCCTCTTTTCCCCTGTCACACCTTCTTCCCACTGATAGGGTGAAAGAGACTTCATGTGCTTCTAGAACTCCATTTGAAAAGTCACTTACGTTCACCTAAACTATGGATAAACTCACTGCCACAGCCTCCCAGTACAGGTAACCACACACCCACTGAGAGAAAAACAAGGTCATAAAAATAAGAACAAATAGTTAAACAAATTTGAAAGTAGGGTAAAGGCGAAGCCACAATGTCCCATGACCAACAGATGGTCAACGGTGTCTGGAAATGTAAACCTCATAACAATTATGTGGCATTCTTGTAAAATTCCTGAAAATGAGACAATATGGTGATGTGGTCGCTATGGAAACTTGAAAACTATATAACCTGGACGTCAAGTCCAGACCAGAGCCAACATTTCATTTTCCTGACTCGCTGTCAGGCTGCTGCTTGTCAGCAGTTAGTAAATCTTTGATCCCGTGTGTTTGGTTTCTCGTGAACACCTCTCTCATTGCTGCCACACTACCTCCTCTACTGCTCAAGTCCTCCTCGTCCTTCAGCCCGAATCACTTCAGCTGGAAGGGACTCTTCCCCCCAGTGTTTGGAGCCCATGACACCTACATAGTTGTGCAGGATGTGTGTGGGTCACAGAGAGCCTTAGTGCTGATGGCCCTGCACATATGCAGAGGGGTCAAAGGAAAGGAGAGCCAGCATCAGCAGTCCCAGCCCACGGCAAAGACCTGGTCCTTGAGCTCTTGGATGTGGGCTCTGATTGCCTATCTGCTCACCAGGGTCGGGCACAGCCTGCTTCCCACTGCCTCCTGAGAACTCCCTGCAGAGGCCCTCAGGCTGGTCTGAGGCCCGGCCACTTCTGTGCTGGGAAATGATGTGATGTGTGTGGGCCAGGCACGTGCAGAGGCTCAGCAGCTCTGGTCCAACTGCAGGTGGATTCAACAGGCCCAGAAATAGCCCCGGGAGAAGCCACAGCAGTCCTTAAACCCCCACAGCCTATGTGCTTCTGGGCAGGGCTGGGACTGGAATGCTGTGGACAGACAGGATAAGAGCTCAAAAGGAGCAAAAGAGCCTGTGACAAAAGGGTGACATCAGGCTCTGGAGAAGATGCCTGAGGCCTAACAGCAAAGGCTAGTGTGTAGCAACAGGCAGGACATGGCCAGTCAGGACCAGAGTAGAAGTCACCCTCACCCTCACAGCGTGGCAAAGACAAGCCCCCCACCCCCATGATGAGGCTCAGCCCCAGGACAGGCCTCTCAGGCAGTCAGGCAGGCAGGCCCTACACACTTTCCCAGCCCCCGCTATATGCCAAGCCTGGGGATATAGGGGACCAGTCAGGCCACCAGCCTGAAGGAAGTCCCAGTGTGCACACTCCATGTCACAATCTAAACGTTCCTTCCTCTGAAAACTGCCACCATCTCCCAAAGGCTTCCTAGACCTCACACCTCGCAGGATTTTGTGTCCTTCCTTGTGTTGTGGGACAGGCCGGACAGCATGCTGATTGTGTGTGTGTGTGTGTGTGTGTGTGTGTGTGTGTGTGTGTGTGACATTCACAAGGTGAACAGCAGCAACAGGCTCTTCCCCTTCCCCTAAAGAACTCAGGGGAGTAGGGGTGACTGGAGCTGGTGAAGGCAGTCACCCCTCTGAAGACCAGCCAGGGGTCCCGGCATGTGATGTCCCCTCCACTCCCCTCCTGCTACTGACCTTCGTGGATGTGGCCGAAGACGTGCAGCCGCGGCTGGACGCGTCTCTGCACTGTGTTGAGCAGCTCCACGCAGCCCACCCGCTGCATCTTCTTGGGGACCCAGTCCAGGAAGCCTGTGTCAGAAGGCGGTGGGGGGCAGCATTAGGAAGGCAGGGGACCAGGCACTCAACACACCCCAGTGTCCCCAGGCCCTTGATGACCAGGGAGCTTGAACAGCAGCCACCCACTGGAGAGATGAGCAAACTGAGGCCCAGGGGCGCCACAGTGGCTGGCCGCAGGGCCACCTGCACAGCCAGGGGCTGACACTCCTTTCCTGGAGACTGCCCTCGCAGCACTACGGGACTGTGATGGCAGCGTGGGTCCCCGTGGCCAGCCGGCACGGCGTGCTCAGCTCACGTGGCCACGCTGTCTGCTCAGCTGCCAGCTCCCAGGAGCCGCCCAGATGGCGGCGGCTTATTATCCTCACATGGCTACACAAACGAAGAACAATTGATTACTCCAAGCGGACAATTAGGCTCCGTGGCCCCCTCTGTTTGGGTGGGAGAAACAGGTTTCTACAACTGTGGGAAGGGGGCAGAGGGAGCTCTGACTCAGAGAATCAAGCTGCTGGAGCCAGGGACTAAAGAGGAGTGACAGGCACAGACAGACAGGGGAGGAAGAGAGGCAGAGGGGCAGGAAAGTGCAGGGGAAGGAAGGGAAGGCAGAAGAGACAGGGAAAATAGGCAGGCATGAATTTGGGGCAGGCACGGGTTTAAGTCCTAGGCTGTGGTGCCTACTGGCTGTGTGACCTTGAACAAGTGAATCAACCCCTCTGAGCTTCACCTGCACCCAGCAGTTAGCTTTGCAGCACAGGCACTGAGATCCACAGAGATGAGGCTATGCTGGCTTCGTTCCCTGGTGTGTGGGTAGGGCTAGCGTGGGGTGGAGCTCCCCAGCTTTCCCGGCATTCATGGCACCCAGGGGAAGCTCTCAGTGGAATGCCTGGCGCACAAGCCATCCCCAGAACAGGCTCCTGGGGTCTGTGTGGTGCGTGGAGGGGTGGACAGATGACTAGGCAGATGGAAGGGTGGAGTGGATGGGTGGGCTGATGCATGAGGGGGCAGGTGGGGGAAGGATGTGTAGGTGGATGGGCGGGTGGGTGGTGCATGGGTGGGTGCATGCGTGGATGGATGGGGAATGGATAGATGGTCAGGGGATGGATGAATGGATGGATGGATGGATGGATGGATGGATGGATGGTTAGCGGATAGATGAATGGGGGAATAGATGGATGGACAGATGGATGGATGGTCGAGGATGGATGGATGGATGGATGGATGGATGGATGGATGGGGGATGGATGGATGGGGGATGGATGGATGAGGGATGGATGGATGGATGGATGGATGGATGGATGGATGGATGGTTAGGGGATAGATGAATGGGGGAATAGATGGATGGACAGATGGATGGATGGTCAGAGCATGGATGGTTGGGAGTTGGATGGGTAGATGGATGGCTGGGAGGATGGCTGTGTAGTGGGAGGGAGGGATGGGTGCATGGGGGAGGGGTAGATGGAAAGAGGGAAGGATGGATGGATGATAGGAGGAGGGAGAGAGGGAGGGTGGGGTGAATGAGCTCATGGGGGAGGGCTGGAAGGATGATGGCTGGATGGACTGGGGATGTGTGGGTGGGGAGATGGATAGACAGATGGGGAGCTGAATGGATGGGTAAAAATGAGGGGGGGAGGAAGGAAGGAGAGTAAGAGGGGGGAGAAAAGAAAGATATAAGGGAGAGAAGAAAAAGGTAAGAAAGGAAGGAGGGAGGGAAGGAGGGAGATGCAGAGGGCGGGAAGGCAGCAAAACTGCCATGGCAGGGCCCCACTCTAAGCACACAGGGCCCTGCTAGTTGAGGGAACTCAGCCCTGAGCCAGGCACTCAGGGTGACAGGGACACAAAGCCAGGAACAATCTTGCTGCACAGAGCCCCTTAATCCCAGTAGAGCCCTGGGCCTGTGGCTTCCTTCTTGGAAACAGCTGGTGCGGGTGCCCCAGGGTGCTGCCAGAGGTGGAGCACAGCAGCTCGGGGCTCTTCCTTGAGGGCTACAGGCATCAGGGACTCAGGTTATGCCAAGTGTCACCTGCAGAGGGGTCCCTCTACCCCCTCGCACCCAGACACGACTGACATGGCCTCCACTGGAAGGCTCGAGCCTCCTCCAAGTCCCCCCAGCTTGTCCCCCTGGCTTGGCCGCTCCTGAGCCCTACACCCTGCAGCCTTGGGTTCCTCCTTGAGCAAGTGCTGCAGGCCCTAACAGCTGGTCTAGCACTGCCAGCCCAGGGACCAGTACTCAGCCCGGGGGACGTGATGGCAGGCTCAGTGAGGGCAGGTGGGCTGAGCCAGAAGGCCAAGTTTGAGCTTCATTCTAGGAACAGAGGGAGTCACGGAAGGTTATAGACATAATTGATGACTCCAGTAACTCCCTCCCATGGGCATGAAGGGGCTCTGCGGGCCCAGTGAGGATCCCACGGTGGTCATTGGAGGGAGGGAAGGAAGGCTTTGGTGGGCAAAGGCAGACAAGGAGGTCTGGGAGGCGAGGGCTGAGCTGCTGTGCAGCGTGCGGAGTGCTGAGCCCAGCGGTGGCCCAGGGCCGGCAAGCCACCCCCAAGAGTGCAGGCACTCAGGAGCGGGGACAGCAGGTCACTCGTCCCAGCAGATCAGACCCAGAGCAGGCAAGCAACCAGGTGTCCCACCCCGTCCGGCGGTGGAGCCCGGAGCAGCAGGCCTTACCCAGTGGAGGGCCATGCGTGATCAGGACGTCCACGCCCTCGGGGATGAGGTTCCATTTCTCCAGCAGGGCCTGGCCTCGCGGCAGGTTGAAGCCCCAGCCGTAAAACCAGGGCTGCCTAGGGAGAAAGAGCGAGTGCTTCAGTGAGCGCCATGACGCATGGGCTGGCACAGGAAGTGGGCAGCAAGAGGCCACCAGGACCGGCTCGGCCCTGGAAAGTAGAGGGGGGACACGCCAAGGCTCCTGCTGGACACCCACCAGCTGGGCCTACTGGACCAAGCGAGAACTCCAGGGAGGGACACCAACTGCTGTCCCTCAGAGCCCCAGCTCAGCAGCCCAAACAGGCTGGAGCCTGTCCCACATCCCAGCCCCAGCCCCACCCGTCCTGCCACTCCTCTCTGTTACTTCCCCAGAGAGCATTGGACCTCAATTCTTTCTGTTAGAGGGAATCTGAAAGGAAGACATTGGCATGCCTTTGTATAAGTCAGTTGGGAGCTGTCACAGGTACTAAGTTATCCTGGGGGAGACAGCTGGACCAATCTGCACCACATACCAACCAGACTGCGGCATTTCTCAGTTATATGGGCCGATATATGGGCCATGAGAGGGGCTGGGCCAGGGCGTGGTGGTACAGCACTGGCCTGGCATGTGTGAGACCCTGGATTCAACCTCATGAAAGGAAGACAGAAGAGAGAGAGAGAGAGAGAGACACAGAGAGAGAGACAGAGAGACAGAGACAGAGAGACAGAGAGAAAGACAGAAAGAGAGACAGAGAGAGAGACAGAGAGAGAGGAAGAGGAAGAGGGAGGGAAGAAGAAAGGGAAAGAGGAAGGTGGGAGAGAGGGAAAGAAGATAGAAGGAAGAAATGAGAGAGGGTGGGGCGGGACGAGGAGGGATGGGGAGAGGGAAGGGGAGGAGAGGAGAGAACAGGAGAGGACAGAAGAGGACAGGAGAAGAGAGGACAGGACAGGAGAGCAGAGGATAGGAAAGGGGAGAAAAAAGGTAGGGGAGAGGAGGAGAGGGGAGGGGAGAAACAAAGAAAGCCACTTGATCATGGCCTTCAGTCACTTGAGCCCCCTTAGGATTAAATTATTACGACCCTATACACACAGAGCCTTTTAGGGTTGAAAAGCCCTCACCATCACAATCACTGATGCCATCCCCCAATCACCACCACCATGACCACCATCACCACCACCACCATGACCATTGCCACCACCACCACCATGACCTCCACCACCAGCACCACCATGACCACCACCACCACCACCACCATGACCATCGCCACCACCACCACCATGACCACCACCACCACCATGACCACCACCACCACCATGACCACCACCACCACCGCCATCACTATCACCACTACCACCAACGCCGGCACCACTGTGGCCTACATGTTCGTGTCTCTCCAGGATTCATACATTGAGAGCCAAACCAGCAAGGCAACAACAGGAGGAGGTGGGGCCCTGGGAGGTGACTGGATGGTGAGGGAGGAGCTTAGGAGCTTTCATGGACGAAATCAGTGCCCCCTGGAAGAGGCCAGCACAAGACCCTCAGCCCTCCCCACGGGAGGCAGCGAGAAGATGCCCTCCACAGACACTGAGTGCCAGTGCCTGGGTCCCGGACTTCCAGCCTCAGGCTCGTGAGGACTAGGTGCCTGTCATTCAGAAGCTGCTCTCTGCCTAAAGGGTTTTCTTCAGCAGCTAAAACACTGTCATCCTCACCACCACCATCCCCACTGCTGCCATTATCACCCCCACCACTGTGGGTCCAACTGCACCCCCCAAAAGTACTTGGCTAAACTCCAGTGCTGTGAACGTGGTCTTATTATAAATGGGCCCCTTTCCCATGCAATGAGGGTACAAGTAGGTCGTGCTGCGTTACAATGGGTCCTAAGTCCAGTGGCCATGTCCTTCCATGAACCATGTGAAAGAAAGACATGGGCTGAAGAGGTCCAGCGTGTGACCATGCAGGGAGGGACAGAGAGACTGGGGCGACACTTCTAGAAGCCAAGGAATGCCGAGGATTCTAAGCAGCACCCAGAAGCCAGGAAAGGCCTGGAGAAATTCTTCAGCCTTCTAGCCTGCAGAGCTGTGTCAGAACACATTCCACGGGTGGTGATGGCTGCTCCACAGCCCTGCACGCTAACACGATCACCCTCAGTGTCACCGCCACCCTAGGATGTCCGCCCCCCACAGTCAGATGGACCAGAGAGGTCTTCTTTGTTCAGTGCATGAGGAAACTGAGACCGTGGGTTAGAAAACAGAAAGTGTCTCCAGCATGTCCCACACAGCTCCTTTCGTGCCATGATGGGGTGAGTCCACCCCACAGTGACAAGCACCCTGTTCATTAAGGGCTCGAGTTTCCCAGATGAGGAGCCTGCGGCTCTCAGAGAGGAGGTGGTGCTAGGATCTGGCCCCTTATAACTGCTTGCCTGCCTGTGCACACTGTGAACCAAGAGTGTGGGCAGACCTTGTCCTGGGGGCCCCTCACGAGCCCAGGGATGCCACCTGAGTCTCCTGTGGGACAGCTGATGATGACCCTAGCTGTTAACCCAAAAGCTCTACCACCCTCTGCACCCATGTGGAACCTCCAGGGGTTCTGTGGAATGAGAACCATGACATCACGCCACCCAGGCAGGTCCTGGACAAGAAGAGAGGGAAAAGGAGATACCCACAGCGACACAAAGGACCAGCAGAGGCATAATTTCCTAACCCAGACCAGATATTCTCTACCCTGTAGTCCCTCCCCTGGGACCAGGGCTTGTAGAGCAGGGCAGGTCATGGCTCAGGGTCACAAGTCCTTCTGCTTCTTAGATGCTGGCCCAGGGAGGGGCAGACAAATGTAGAATGGGGGTGGCGGGGGAGAGGCCCTGGACCAGTGCAAGGCCTGGTGTGAGACCATGAGCCACGCAGACCCCAGGTCCCTGGACAGAGCACAATGACCACCGTGCCCAAAGCCCCAGGCCCAAGCACTCAGCCACCACCGTCACATCACTGTGGTCCCCATGGGCCCCTCCCAGCACCACCAGCTGAACTGGTGACAAAGCTTTGGCCCAGGGCAGGGCATTTGTGCTGCATTTTGATGAGAGCAACACAATTTTTTTTTTTAAGGAAAAAATGCTAAGGAAACATCAGAACACAGCAGAGTAGGAAGTGGAGCCTTCTCTGTTCAATGTATTTCTGCTTAAACAGACTCTCAGCGCGGGTGTCCTGCACACAAGGGAAGGTCCCTCCCCCTGCGGTCCTGCTGGCACCCCCAGCCCCCATCCAAGCGACTGGGCCACTCCAGTCCTCGCAGCCAGCTTCACTCCGGTCCTCACAAGCTGGGTCCGTCCCCGCACACGCTGGGCCACTCGGGGTCCTCCCAGGAGTCCCAGCCCTGCCAGCCAACAGGAAAGGAGCAGTGTGTTGCTGGCACTGGCTTCCAAACACAAGCTCCGATTTTCAAAATTCTAACCAAATATTTATTAGACAGGACAAGGCCTCGCCAGTGTGGGGGAGACAGCAACTGTCAGTGCCCAGGAGGGTCCTCAGAGGCGGTTTTGGGGGACACTCAGAAACCTGTCAAAGACCTCATGTGCCCCCAGCAGCTGGCCTTAGGGAGCCCCTGAATGTCCCAGCTTCATATCACCCAGCGCTAAGGAGCTGTGCCCCTTGGAGTGACCATGTCCTGACTACTTCTCGGAAACACACAGGACCGGGAATCCTGGGAAGCTAGGTGCCACCCACCACTGGGGCTGCCCAGAGAGGTCCTTCCTCTTCCCAGGGTTGCATAGCACTCCAGGGCAGGGGGAGTGGAGAATCCGGTGTCCCACGAAGCTGCTCCAGAACTGGTCCACGGCCACCCCTCCTTTTTCCCCTCCCCACCCCCGTCGCCCCACCCATCCATGAGGCCCTGAGCCTATCCCCAAGGTACAGAGGCACCAGTCACCTTATCTGCAGGTCCTGCTGGGTGTGGGGGCCGCTGACAGCAGTGTCGTAGATCCTGGAGGGCTACAGACCACCTTGTCCCCATCAGATGGGTAGAGAGGCCACCAAAGATGGCCCGGTCCGGCCCATCCCAGTTCCCGCCATCAAGAGGGATGAAGAAGCCGTGTCTGCGGACCTTGACATCAGGGCAGGGAGGGCCTGGCTTGCTGGCCGCTGTACCCACTGCCTGACATAGGACAGGTGGGGGCAACCAGAGAGCCTGAGGCTGGCCTGCTCTCTGTGACGTGATCCCAATGCCGAGCCCCTGGCCACAAAGGGATGTTCAGCTTCCTTTGCGTCCGACAGGCAGGGACAGGCCGCTCCCGCAGCAGAGTTTCCAGAAGGTGGCTCTGAGCCAGCCCTGGGTGGAGTCTGTGTCCTCTTAGCTGACCTAAAGGTGAAAGGTCCCCTCCATGTTCCTCGAGGCCTGGCACCTGCCATCAGTCACTAGGATAGGACACCAGGGTTCCCAGGGGCCTGCCAGCCAAGCCGCCACCAGCCATGGCCTGAGGACTGTGAGCCTCGGAGCTCAGAGCTGGGTGCCCAAGGGCCTGGGACCAGCTGCCACCGCACGCAGCTGCTGGGGCTGCCAGGCCCTGCCCCACCGTCCATCCACCCGCCCTGCACCAGGCACTGGCCCTGACACCTCGTGGCCCCAAGGGGATGAATCAAAATTCCCACTGAGCGACGGGAGGCGGCTTTATGTCCTGAATTTCTGTCTTTCTGTTCTAAAGTAACCATTGGAATAATTTTCTTACAGAATGATAGTTGCCATGACAACCAGAGCAAATTTTCCTTTTCTGAAACAGATGTCTCATTTAGTTGAAAATTAGAATGTGAACAAACCCATGGGAAAAATTAATTCAAACTTTAACAGAGCGCTGAATACAGTGTAATCTCTCAGAGGTTAACCCCTTAACAGCTTCTCTGTGTGTGGACGGAAACCTTCCGATCTAGCCTAATTAAGCCCGCTTAGCCAATATAAATGACCTCCTCACCACCAACCATGAAGCGGCGTGACCCTCCAGCGCGCATCGTGGGCGCTCTCTCAGCAGGTGAGGAGTGGGGAATCTCATGGACGGCAAGTGACAGAAGCAGGGCCTGCCTGCCCGAGGTTTTGGTCTTCCCAGGGTGAAGTCTG